ACTGTCCCACTGGGCCCGCAGCGGAGGGTCGATCGATTGGTCATCGATTGCGTCTCAGATCGACTGGTCGATGGCTGTAGATGGGCTGTGCAACAGCAGAGAACAATACAACAGCACCTCAAAAGAACCCGTTGGACGCCCGCTGGTGTCCAGCAGATTGTGTCTACGTGTCCCGGCTCCCTACATCGAATGCACCGGCGCCATTGTGTCGGCCGTTGGCAGTTGCAGTCGCACCCTCCTACCTTGGCTATCTTTCGGCGCGCCCGACGGCGTCAACAGGAGCTCTCGCTGGTTGGCAGTGTGGAAGCAGGGGGCGTGGAAGAGAGATGGCACCGCAGTGGGCGAAGCCCGTGCAAGGTGGACTGTTTCGGCGAGGTCGCCTTTGCAGTGGCCCCATGGTTCTCAGGGCAGCGACGGTACTGGTTTGCACCTCGAGTAACGGTCTGGGAAAATCACATTACCGAGTATACAGCAGGATAGCAGAAGTTACAACAGTTTCGCATCGTGAATCACAGTTGAAACGGGCTTTCAAGTTGAATGCATCATCGACGCTGCGCGTATCCCCACCAGTCCATCCAGAAAAGATCCCCATGCGAGTTGCATTGATCAGTGAGCAGCGAGGTGTACGAGCAGATGCAGTAGACCAGACAGCAGAGTCAGCCGGCCATCAAGCCCAAGCTCGGCATCAGCCTGAGCATACCTGATGTCAGCTTGTGGTCAACAGTTGAGCCCCCGCCCCAGGCTGATGAACTGACCCCGCGTGGTGCGAAACCAATTTTTTGAATCGCGCGCTCCGTGGGATCCTCGCAGGCGCCGCCGAGGGGATCGTGTACCCCAGCACGGCAGCCTCAAGACGATTGTTTTTCGTACTCACGTCGTGAGACGGATTGTATACATCCGAGTCGAAGTTTTCCTCCCCCTTCTCAGGCTGATTACCCACATGCCGCAGTCGTCGTCGTTGTTGCCGTCGTCTATCACACCACACCACACCCACCCACACCCAATGGGGTATCCCAGAGCGTTGCCGTCCGTCGTCGTCGTCGTCGCTGTCGTCGTCGACTCAAGCGGTCCCACGCAGCACCCCACCCCGCCCCATGGGGCAGCCGCAGTTCGCCGTCGTCAACGTCGTCGTCCTCGTCGTCCTCGTCGTCCACAGCGGCCCTGCGTGTCCCCCCCTCCCACGGGGCATCCCCAGCGCGCACGCGCGTGCGTCGTCAGTCGTCCCGTCGTCGGCCCTGTCGCCCATCGTCGACGGATCCACGCAGCACCCCACCACAGGGCATAAGGTAGTGGAGAGGGGTGGAGACGGAGAAGGAGGAACCCGAGTCGTCTGCCTCCTCTTCCTTTCCCTGTTTGTAGGCATGCCAGCGCCGCCCGCCAGCTGGGATCGGGGCTCAAGGGACGGGGGTCAATGCAAACGGAGGTCAGTCAGAGCGCCCGACCTTGCAGGATCTTGCAGTGCCAGGGGTGCATCGATCCGGGTTGGGGTGCAGAATCCTTCCGGATCCTGCGGGATCCTGCAACGCCTGATTGACCCGGGTCTGGATTGACCAAGGGCTCCCTCGAGGGCGCGAAGTTATTCGCGCTTCGCGCTTCGCGGTCCTCGTTCCTTCTCCCCCTCCTCCTCGTCCTCCTATTCTCCCTTGGGAGGCGGCGCGAGAGCGCGAAGTTATTCGCGCTTCGCGCTTCGCGCAGCGCGAAGCGCGAAGCTGGGAGCCCTTGCTTCCTGTAGCCAGTTTCGGCCCAATCGCCCCGCTGCAGCGGGGGCGTTGCCATCCCCGCCGCTGCAGCGGAGCCGCTCGCGTCGCGCCCGTCGCTCTCTAGCTCACCACCCACCAAACCACCCCAACCCAACCCGAAGGCCTCGATTTGCCCTCCACTTCCAGTGGGGGGGGGTCGGGGAACATCGAGAAAACACATATGGAACCCGTACCCCCCCCAACCCGAAATTCGGGTCTTCGGGTTGGGTTGGGGTGGTCTGGTAGGTAGTCACTAGCTGGCTGCCGGGCGTGGGCGCTGATCACCGGCGCCGCCGTGGCGTTTTTTCCACCTGGCGGCGCCCCCCCCCCGGGATTCGCCCGAGCAGGGAACTAAGGGCTCCCTCGAGGGCGCGAAGTTATTCGCGCTTCGCGCTTCGCGGTCCTCGTTCCTTCTCCCCCTCCTCCTCGTCCTCCTATTCTCCCTTTGGGAGGGCGGCGCGAGAGCGCGAAGTTATTCGCGCTTCGCGCTTCGCGGAGCGCGAAGCGCGAAGCTGGGAGCCCTTGCTTCCTGTAGCCAGTTTCGGCCCAATCGCCCCGCTGCCGCGGGGGCGTTGCCATCCCCGCCGCTGAAGCGGAGCCGCTCGCGTCGCGCCCGTCGCTCTCTGGCTCACCACCCACCAAACCACCCCAACCCAACCCGAAGGCCTCAATTTGCCCTCCACTTCCAGTGGGGGGGGGTCGGGGAACATCGAGAAAACACACATGGAACCCGTACCCCCCCCAACCCGAAATTCGGGTCTTCGGGTTGGGTTGGGGTGGTCTGGTAGGTAGTCACTAGCTGGCTGCCGGGCGTGGGCGCGGATCACCGGCGCCGCCGTGGCGTTTTTTCCACCTGGCGGCGCCCCCCCCCCCTGGATTCGCCCGAGCAGGGAACCATGTTTGGTAAATCCAAGGGCTCCCACGAGGGCGCGAAGTTATTCGCGCTTCGCGCTTCGCGGTCCTCGTTTCTCCTCCCCCTCCTCCTCGTCCTCCTTTTCTCCCTTTGGGGGGGCGGCGCGAGAGCGCGAAGTTATTCGCGCTTCGCGCTTCGCGGAGCGCGAAGCGCGAAGTTGGGAGCCCTAGCTCTCTAGCTGGCTGCCGGGCGTAGGCGCTGATCACCGGCGCCGCCGTGGCGTTTTTTCCACCTGGCGGCGCCCCCCCCCGGGATTCGCCCGAGCAGGGAACCATGTTTGGTAAATCACAAGCTGCCGTTCGGAGTCGCCTCCTGCGTTTTTGCACCGTTTTTCCGTCCTCGACCGAAAACGGGAGGACCACTCGGGGCGGGCGGGACCGCGATCGCGCGCCCGCCCGCCCGCCCGTGAGCGCCCCTCGGGCAGCGTCGGCCGTCCCTGCGCGCTTCGTCCTTCCCAGGAGCCCCTCGAGTCGCGACAAAAAACAACATAGGGTTCTCACTATGTTCGGCCTCCGGGGGCCCTTCCTAGGGGAACGAAGGATGACCTAAACATGGAAACTCGGAGGTCCGCGCGGATTTCTCGGATCCGCGCTGGACCCCTCTCCCCTGGCGCGCAGAGCGCGCAGGCTTTTTTTCTGTGAGTCACAAGCTGCCGTTCGGAGTGGAGTTACTGAGGCTGCAGTCGAAGGAGAAGAACGAGGTGGGAGATGCGGAGCAGACAGTGAAGGAGGAGGGAGGGGGAGGAGTGATGATGACCAAGATGGTGGTGGGAGGAGGTTGAGGAAGAGGAACGAGTGCAGGAGGCTGATTGGAGGAGGAAAGGGGCGGAGACGGCATTCACCATTCACGAGAACGAGGGAGGAGGAGGAGGAAGAGGAGAAGGAGTAGGGGGAGGAGGAGGAGGTGGAAGAGGAGGAGGAGGAGGAGGAAGAAGAGAGGAGGAGGAGGAAGAGAGGAGGAGGAGGAGGAGGAGGAGGAGGAGGAGGAGGAGGAGGAGGAGGAGCAGCAGCAGCAGGAGGAGGAGGAGCAGGAGCAGGACGACGACCACGACGGCAGTCGTCAATCATGAAAACATTCGCGAGCCTGTCGTTCTACGAGCTTCTCAGACGCCTCTTGGCGTCATCTCGTAGCCAGTTTGGAGCTTTTTTGGGTCAGTGTGGTTCCCGTCGGAACATTCCTGGGGCTCTGGATCCTGGGAGATCTTCTTGAAGCCACCCCCTCTTCGGAGGTCAACGAGTCTCCCCTCGGCTCCTCTTGGGGCAACCATGGGTGCTCTTGGGGCCGTCGTTGAGGGGCCCTGTTTGGCGATCGTGGAGGCCTCGTGAAACTCCCACAGGCGCATCACGTTGATTTACGCAATATGTTGGAACGGATTTTGTTCTCTCGGGATGCCCCGTGGCTGCTTAGTGCGGGAGGCTACATGTAGCCTGTAGCCATCTCGGGCGATGCTTTACGATGTGGGAGGCCATCCTTGGCTATCTGGGGCTATCATGGGATCGCGTTGGGCTTCCAACGCATCGCTGAACCGTCCGTCCAGACCCAGGGGGGGGAAGGGGAAGGGGTCAAGACACCCTCCCCTGTCGCAAGTGTTTGGCTCACTCCCCCTCCCGCCCTCCTAACACACACCAGTCGCATCCCCGGGTTTCAGCAGATTCGGCGGCCGCTCTCGGATGGGCAGCTCTTGGGAACCGCTACGGATCCCAGGTGCGCGACGCTGGGGCGAGTGCGCCGCGCGCGCCAGTCGTGCCGCAGGCTCCAGCCGTGTCAGGTGCGCCACGCTCGGGGCACGCGCAGGGCGCGCCAGGCGCGCCCGCGCACATTGGAAACCATGTCGGCCTCGTCGAAAGCGGACAAAGCAATCGCGGCGGAGTGGCCATCCTGGTGTCCGGTGGGGCCTGCACACAGCAGGCAGCGTGCCAGCACCTCCGCCGCCCCTGCGAAGCAAACTGACGCAGCGTGATCGGTGGGTGCCCGCGCATGGTCCAGATTTGGTCTTCAGTCGGGCATGTCCCTCTACAGGAGGCATCTTCAAACGTATTCAAGAAATAGTGCGAGGACATTTTTTTGAATTTTCATTCTATTTCATTTTCCATTCAAAATCCGCCTGGAGGAAGACATGCCCGACCTAAAATTGGTCGCGAAGTGCAGTTTGTATTGTTTTTGGTAGGTATGGTGGCTCCGCGCGCAGTAGGCCCTCTGCTGGCACCCCAGCCGCCCCTGTCAAAACACACTACGAAGTGCTTGCGCCCCCCCCGAGCATGACCAAGACTTGTGCCGCAAAGTGCATGTTGAATTGCTCGTTGGCATGGGTGATGGGGGGCTGCCAGCATGGCACCGAGCAGGTCATATGCCGGTACCCCCGCCGTTCTTGCAAAGCCCAACAGAGAGAGACGATCGCGGGGTGCCCGCGGATGCTCCAGATTCGGAGGCAACGTGCATGTTGTAGTGTTTGTTGGCGAGGATGGTTTGAAGGGAGGCGCGTGGGTCTTTGTTGGCTGCCAGCCGGGGGGCAGGGGAACGGGGTGTTTGTTGATAGCGAGCAGTGGTCAAGCTACCCCCACCTCCGAAGGACGGCCGTCTCGTTCAATCCCATGCACCCTCTCGGCACATGGGCTTGGCATCCGCGAGAACCATCGAGGACCATCCTGGACCATCGAGCAGAAAAGCACGCACGAAACCGAACAATGCACGGGAAATGGACGTCCGAGCGACGGCACATGGGTAGCACCCGACTCTCAGCACTGGCGGGGGCCGCCTTCGACGACCATCGGGACTCAATGCAGGCGCCAGCCAGGTACGTGAGGAGGAGGAGGAGGAGGAGGCGGAGGAGGGGGAGGGGGAGGAGGAGGTGGAGGAGGAGGAGGAGGAGGAGGGGCGCTCGCGCGTGGGTCCAAGATGTTGCCGCCACGTGCGCGCCGTGCATTCGTTGTTGGACGGGGGGCGGTGGGCCTGCCCGCACCCGGGCAGGCTCGGGCACCCCCGCCGCCCCTGTCGAGACAGTGTACATCGGGGACGGGCAGGCCTCCTGCCCTGACGCGTCGCTTAGCGCATTGGCCGATGCTCGGTTCGCGAGAGGGCCCCGCGGCCGCCATTTTTTGCGGGTCCAGGTCCGTCGGCTTCGGTCCCGTGCCGTTTTCACTGAGCGGAGGTTTGCTAGAGGGAGGCCTGTCCACCGCCGAGTGGAGTGATCGCGGGGCGCCCGACCACACGGCTCAGATTTAGGCGCGACGTGTACTCGGGACTTGTTTTTCCCTGGGGTGCTGGGAAAGGGGTCGGCGTTGGCTCTGGTCAGGGGCTGGTGGAGCGGCGGAGGGGGTGGTTCATACTGCGGAGTTGCCAGGCTCCCAGCGGGGACGCTGCCGGCTGCCTCGCTCACTCCCACCCGAGGAGTTGCACCCGAGTCTCCGCACAGGCAGGGGCCGCCGTCTACAGCCATCGGGAGTCAATGCGGACGCCAGCCTGGTGCGCGACGTCTGCGAGGTGCGCTGCGTGTTGCTGCACCACGCGCACCATGTGCGCCAGGTGCCCGATCGGCCCAAGCGTCCCAGGCGTGCCTGGTGCGCCAAATACGCCCACGTCGCGCGCAGAGTGCGCCAGGTGCGCCAGCGCACGCCACAGCACACATCGGGCAAAGCGACGGAGGGGTTGCGACTATGGTGTGTTGCGTGTGCGCCCAACCACTTTGCATTTGTTCCTGACAGGGCTGGTGCCCCCCCTCCGTCCCAGTCAAGAAACAATGCAACGTGATCGTGGGGCGCCCGAAAATGATATAGATATTCCCGCAAAGTGCACATTGCAATGTACTTGGTCAGGGGTGATGTGGAGGGCATGCTTCCTGGTCGGTCGGTCGCTGGTCGAGTGGGAGAAGGGGTGCGTAGGAATGAATGAGGAGCAGCCTAGAACTCCTTCCCGAAAGGGCATACTGCGCTTGGAATGATGAACTTGTTAAACCACATACGCACAGAGGGGCTGGGGGGAGTTGGTGCGACACCAAATCAGGAGTCTTCCTTTGTGCAAACAAGCTGAAACGAAGAGCAAGCCATAACCAAGCTCAGTGCGAAGGGAACACGGTTTTGCTATGACTTGGTCTGTTTAGTGTTGGTGTGCAGCCTTCTTCATACAGTCGGAGTGCGACTGTCTCCTATAAGGCAGGCATGCCCGCCCCTCCCCCTCCCCCTCCGCCAGCCAAGCCCCATTCGCTCGCTGGCGACCCCTGCTGAAGCAGGGCGCGTGCGTGGGTCGCGGGACGTTGCGAGACAGGTCTGCCGCCTTTGGTCAGTCGAAGGTGCTCCGTTCCCCCCTAGATGGTGGGCGCGCTATGTTGGGGTGGCTTTCCTGCGCCGCCCCTCGAGGGTGGCTCCCCCTTCTGCGCTCCAGGTGAGGTGGACGTGCTTCCCAGACCGGGCCACCGCGGTGGGCACGCTGATCGACTTGTACCTGCAGCGGAAGGCCTGGGGGGATGGGGGCGGAAGGCTCAGGGTGAAATCCGAGGCGCGGATTGATGCATGTTCACCGACTGGGAATCCAATTTTCTTGGACCTCGGGATGATGATGCTGATGAGGATGATGCTGATAATGATGACGCTGATGATGATGGTGCTGATGTTGATGACGCTGATGGTCATCATGATGGTGATGGTGATGATAATGATGACGCTTATGTTGGTGGTGATGCTGATGATAAGCATGGTGATGATAATGATGTCGGAGCTGGTAATGCTGCTGCTGATGATGATGATGATGATGATGTTGTTGTTGTTGTTGATGCTGATTCGGATGATGATGGTTGTGATGATGATGCTGCTGATGAATATGATGATGCTGATGCTGATGATGCTGACGATGATGCTGATGATGATGCTGATGATGATGCTGATGCTGTTGATGGTGACGATGATGATGCTGATGATGCTGCTGCTGCTGATGATGATGATGATGATGATGATGATGATGATGCTGATGATGATGCTGCTGCTGATGATGATGACGATGCTGATGATGATGATGATGATGCTGACGACGACGATGATGATGATGATGATGACGATGACGATGCTGATTATGATGATGATGATGATGATGATGCTGATGCTGATGCTGATGCTGATGATGATGATGATGATGATGATGATGATGATGATGATGCTGCTGCTGCTGATGATGATGATGATGATGATGATGATGGTGATGATGATGATGATGATGATGATGATGATGATGATGATGATGATGATGATGATGATAGTGATGATGGATCTCCTGGCGCTGGTTGTGGGGTTGTCTTGGCCTCATGTCTTGGGGCCCTCTTGGGCCGTCTTGGGGCCCTCTTGGCTGTACGGTGGGTGTCTGGGGGCCGTCGTTGGGTCGTCTTGGCGCCGACTTGGGCCATTCAGGCTTTCTAAGGTCGTCGTGTGTCCCGAAAGAGCTTCGTGGGCCGTCTTGGGGCCGTCTTGGATGCCTCTTGGGTCATCGTGGAGTCCTCGTGGGCCGGCATGAGCTGAGGCGAGAATGCGAAAAGCATTTTGAAACCTTCGGGAACACAGTGAGTTGGCCTTCTTCGGACCGTGTTGGGGGTCCTCTTGTGGCCCTTTTGGGCTCTCGGCATCTTGGGCCGTCTTGAAGCAATATTCAGCCGGCTTGGGGCCATCTTGGGCCGCCTTCGAGGCATCTTGTCCCATCGTGGGGTCCTTGGTTGCTTGCACGGGCCGTCTTGAAAGCTCGGGACGCATATCCATCGTTTTGGACAATGGATCGTGGCTTGGGAGGCCCGGGAGCGCTTGGGAGCAGCGCCTGGGCATGCGGGACGTGCGCGATCTTCTAGCGGGTGTGCGTGGGATGAGGGGTTTGGGAGGTAGCAGTCATGCTAGAAGTGCGCAATCCTCGAGGGGGCGCGCATGGAGTGGTTGTTCAGGCATTTGCTGCCATGTGGGAAGTTCACCATCCTCGAGCGGGCACGCGTGGAAGGGGGGTTCAGGCATTAGTTGCCATGCGGGAAGTGCACAATCCTCGAGCGCGCGCGCGCGCATGGAATGAGGGTTCTGGCATTAGCCGCCATGCGGGAAGTTCATCCTCGAGCGGGCACGCGTGGAATGGTGCACTAGGCATGTCTTGCCATGCTGGACGTGCTCCATCCTCGAGCGGGCAAGAGGGAATCGGCTTCGGAAAAGAAGGGGCGATGCATGCGGCAGTGCGTGTAGAGGGGGGTCCTTATTAGAATTTCGAAACCATGCCAGGCAGACCTTGGCATTCTTCCGTGCCTCGACGTGCTAGGGGACACAGTGGCGGATTGAAGTGCATTCCCTCGTACGGCGCTCCGCTGCATCGTGTTGTTGCAGTGCGTTGCTCGCTGCGCATTGCGTCGATTTGATTTGGGCGCCGCTGTATGCGCTGCGTGGTATTGCGATGGTTTGCGTTGCGTTGCGTTGATGTGATGTGTGGTGTAATGAGTTGCGTTGCATGTCCTTGCTTCGCGTTGCTGGGCTTTGAAGAAAGACGACCCTGGGATCGCGCCAGGTTTATGTATTAATTCGAAGATTGGTGATAGCCCTTCATTTTTCAGAACGCTGGGGAGCGCGACCTGGCAACAGTGCACCTGGTCAGGTCCTGTGCGTTGTTGTCATCTCTTCGCGCATTAAGGACATCGAGCGGTTGGTTCCATACGTTACAGGTTTAGCGGGTACGCGAGTACCGACCGATTTGTCATATCCATACCAGGTGTAATCCAGGGCATGATCTGTTTCTCTCCACTCCTTGTCCTCGTCCCCAGGACTCCAGCTGGTTGGTTTTCCCGCTCGTGCCCTAGAAGTCTCGACCCCTTTCCTGTGTCGGGTTGTTCGTTAGTCATCGTTGGCGTCTTGGGGGCGGGGGGGGGCTGGCGAAGAGCATCCAGAGGCCACATACTAGAATTCATGCCACATTTGAACAACAACAAGACCTTCCGCTGAAGGTCTGGGTCCTCGTCCTCCCTTCGCCTCCCTTGCAGATAGAGCTCCACGACGAGTGCGTGCACCAGCTCTTCTCGGCGAACCGCTGGGAGGCGGCCTGGGGGCGGGGGGGGGCGACGACTGCCGCACGAGTTCGGAGGATCTGGCTTCTTCGGCTACCGCAGTGTCATCTTTGAAGGTTTCGGGCACACGGGGGGCACGCGACGACGACGATCGACGATGGAGGATCAAGACTCTGGGCAGTGCGTGCATTCTTTGGGGCATCCAGGGGCCTCCGTGGACCTCCAGAAACTTCTGGGGGCGTTCGCAGACTTCCACAGGCCACGCGAGGATGGCGACGACGGGTGAGAAGGGGGGGATGGGTGGGGGGAAGGAGGGACTCTTGAGTTCACGCGGCAGCAGATTACTGACAGTCGTACGCCATGGCCTGCACATCCAGAAGATTTTGCACAGCCGTCCGAGGATGCCCTGTGCAGTGTCAAGAGCGTTGCGTCGGCGACATTTTTGGCGATTCGCTAACTGCACTACGTATCTGCCTGGCTACGCGTTGTCTTCTCTGCTAAGGTAAGGAGGTGTCGGTGGGCACACGGGATGGGGCGCCACATGGAAGTATGTAAAGAGCGATTCGACCATCGATTCTTATTGGGTTGCCCACTGTGTTCTTCGGGCAGGAGCATCACTTGTCGGCGAGCTAATTTCTCTTGTGGGCGCACTTGCAATGTAAATGGGTGTCACGGTATAGTGCAGGTTGCTTTTTTGGGCTCTCGATTGCCAGAACCCCACATAGCTCGATTGGATAACAAATACGTTAGATGGTGTTTCATCATTGCGATTGCACCTATTCGATGTCCCCCGCATCTGTGGCGTTAGGGGGTGTCCTTCTTCATGTCTTGATCAGGGAGGTCGCTTTGTCCAGCACGTTTGTTTATCCTGTGCTGTGTTGTCCATCGCGCCCTCTGGGCTTGGTGGTGTTTAACGCCCCCCCTCCCACTACTGCAAGGATGTTCCCTCTATGCATTGTTCCGGGATGCAAACGCGATTTTGTGTTCGCAAGCTTGTTTGTTATGGTTAACGTGGCAGGTTGAGAACCCTCCGGCTGAGACTGGTTTCGATGTGCGTTCCGCCTTCGTCCTCTTCGCTTTTAAGCGTTTGTGGCGTGGGGAGCCGCTTAGATAGCGATTGAGGGTCCTGGGCCCCGGCTGCTTTTAGCTAGGGGGGGGAATCCTCAATTATTTCCTTGATGTAGTGTTGGTTAGGGCGACTTGGACTCCATCTTCTATTGGCGTCTTCTTCACCAGCTTCTGCTGTGTGACTCGGAACTCGCACAGGCACTACAGTGGTGGCTCGCAATGTGCCACGCTTTCCCAGCATTTGTCGATGTCTCTCCACCTCAAATCGCCGACTCATCATGGTGGCCGTGAGCTGGAGTATGATCCGACCAAGATGTCGCACGCCCCCATGGTCGAATACCTGGGTCAGCAGTTCGCTCACCCCATCTGGTGGTTATTGCATAGATCGAGAGGCTTCTCCCTCTGCCGCCGCAGCCTCTCGATGAATTCGTGGCTTCAGGGTAGTTGGGGTTTGTGGGCCCACTTTTCATGAGGCTAATTCTTTTCAACCTCACGTGAACGTGCAGATGGTCCTTCCCTGAAGCACATTTGAATGTACGTGTCGTCGGCCTTCTGGAGGTCTGATTGCCTCATGGTGCCGTTGCATCCTTTGGTAGATCGACCCCCCCTCGCGTTCTCCTCTGCATGGCCTGCTTCAAAACAGTGTCCTTCTGAAAGGTCTGAGGTGTTCTTCGGGCCCCTCCACCCATGTACGGCTACCCATGGACGGCTGGCGATACTTGCGATGCACATGTTTTTTTGCGATGTGCTTTCTTCGGACTACACATGTACGGCTTGCGATGTGTGCTCTTCTTCGGACTACACACGTACGGCTTGGGACATGTTAGAGGTCTGCGGACTGTGCCACCGATCCGGCACGCTCTGGGACGCTCCTCGCGAATTATTTCTGTTTAACACGTTGTGAGCTGTTCTCCGAGAAGGCAGGATGGATGATGAGGGGGGAGGTGGAATAGTAGGGGGAAAAGGAAAGGAGGAGGAGGAGGAGGAGGAGGAGGAGGAGGAGGAGGAGGAGAAGGTGGAGGAGGAGGTGGGGGGGAAAATGAGGAGGAGGAGGAGGAGGAGGAAGAGGAGGAGGAGGAGGAGGAGGAGGAGGAGGGGGGGAAGGAGGGTGTTGGCAGTAGCCTTAGGCAGTATGTGCCGAATTGCATGTTTTTGCGCCTTGTCGTCTGCCGAGCGTGATGGCGGGCTAGTTCCCTGATGTGTTGGCTCGTTGGTGGGTCGCTGGACTTGGGTGGCCCCGACCCCAGCCCCAGCGCCGGCCCCGCGGCCTCGGCCCCGGCCTCGGCCCTGGCCCTGGCCCCAGTCCCCAGAGTCCCCAGCCCTGGCCCTGGCCTCAGGCCCCGGCCCAGGCCCCCCAGCCGCGGCCCCATGCAGCCCCGGCGCCCCGGCGCCCCAGCCCCGGCCCCAGCGCCCCGGCCCCGGCGCCCCGGCCCCGGCCCCGGCCCCGTGCCCGGCCCCGTCCCCGGCCCCGCGTCCCCGGCCACGGCCATGCCTGGCCCCGTCCGCGGCCCCGGCCTCTGCCCCGGGAACCATCACCCCCCCCTCCTCCCCCTAAAATCACAGTCTTCCCCCCCCTTCAAACCACGTCCTCGGCAGAGCCACCCCGGCAACCCCCTCAGCATATCGGCGCGTATTTCGCACGTGGCGGCGGTATTCATTCCAAAGTGGCGCAATTGGAAGATGCCGCTGTTGGCGCAATTGGCAGATTGCCGCTAGAGAGTGCTCGCACCGCTTACCGCAGGCAGCTCAGGGCATCGTGGAAGACATGAATGCTGGGACGACAGTCGTCTGCGACCGGTACGCTTTTTCAGGGGTCGCCGCGATTGTTCATCAGTTGCGTTTTTCTTTCTTATCTGGCGCATTCCCGCCCAGCCAGTTCATCTCTCCAATTTCCCCAGTACATCTACTCGTTTTCTGCATTCCTTCCAGAATTGCAACTTGCAGTTCTTGATCAACCTTGGGCATGTCGCAGGACTAAGCTGCTTTTCGGCAGTTTCTGTACCTTTTGACTTCCGAAAACTCTTGCATTGCAGGAGTCCCGTGGCCAATGACTATGCATGGCCCCGTTGCCACACGTGTCTCGGTTACACGCTGCCCTTGATGTCATTATGTCGCGTCGCGCCGCCAGCGAGGACTCATCCCCCAAGTCTTTCTTGAAAGCCGCCCCCGCTTTGTTTTGTGACCATGTATGTTATTTTTGGTTATGAGTTGGTTTGGATTGAGTTTCGCTGTTTGCAATTTGTTGCTTCGTTTTGGCCTGTATCGCGCTGTTGTGTATTGTCTTGCATTTGTAGATGTTTGTAGCTTTGTACGCATACGCATACATATATGTATACGCGCATGTCATTGCATTGTCTGACTTGTCTTGGCTTGGTAGTGCAATTCAACACTGTGAAGTTCAATGAATTGTTTTGCTTATCACTGCTGTCTGTCGCATCGTTTGCAGTGCCTGCGTTGCTTTGCTATCGTGCTACCAGGGGTTCCGCCACTCCTTCGGGGGATGCCATGGACTCTTTCTAAGCCCCTTATAGTCAACCCGTATATTAAGGATGCGCGACAAGGATGCAAGGGCTTTGGAAGACCACGTCGAAGCTTTTCGAGCGGGGCACGGCCAACGAAAGTGGCCAACGATGGACCGAGGAGGCAAGGATGCAAGGGTACCCTTGGGAAGGTTGCCCATCCCTACTATGCGGTATAACTGTGGTTCCTTAGTTCACTCTTCCTCCTCGACCCTCCCTCATCCCTCATTCTCATTTCCCCCGGCGTCGTTGTCGTGCTCCAGCCTCGCTGGGAAAATCGAACCCACCAGAACGGGGAAGTAATCCGGCGTGTCTCTTACCAAGAAGCTGTGTGCGCATGACGTGGCCAGCCCGGGCGAGAGTGGGACACGCACATGTCGCCGCATGCTTGTCTGATGTTCGGCCCTCGTGTGGCTAAGTACGCCCGCCACCCGCACGTGCATCAAGACGTTGGCCTCTGCATGTTCCGTATGAGATTCCTGCCGCGCGTGTTTCCAGCTCGTCTTGGTTTTCTTATTCATCACCGCGGGCAGGGGCTGAGGCCGATGATTTGGCTCCGACGGGGCGACGCAGGTAGAGCGCGGGCGTCATGGGCGCGAAGGAGGAAGGATGATAACACACCGTGTCATTTGTTCTAAATTCAGGAGGGAAAATTATCCCGGCAAAGCAACCTAACAGCGATGTGTAGGAGCATATCTGGAAGCATTCCCCTTACGATTCAGATGAGAATCCAGTTGTAGAATTCTGCTGTGCTCGCAGTCGTAGTCGCAGTCGCGATGACAGTCGCAGTGGCAACGGCAGTCACAGTCACAGCCTCAGCCTCAGCCTGCCTCAGCCTCAGCCTCAGCCTGCCTCAGCCTCAGCCTGCCTCAGCCTCAGCCTCAGCCTCAGCCTGCTTCAGCCTCAGCCTCAGTCTGCCTTCAGCCTCGGCGTCAGCCTCAGGCTGCCTCAGCCTCAGCCTGCATCAGCCTCAGCCTCAGCCTCAGCCTACCTCAGCATCAGCCTGCCTCAGCCTCAGCCTCAGCCTGCCTCAGCCTCAGCCTCAGCCTGCTTCAGCCTCAGCCTCAGTCTGCCTTCAGCCTCGGCCTCAGCCTCAGCCTGCCTCATCCTCAGCCTGCCTCAGCCTCAGCATCAGCCTGCCTCAGCATTCAAAATGTGGCCCGGGAATGGAGTTCTGGGAACTCGAAGAACACGAAGCGGCCTAAAGTGGCCTACAGTTGGTTCCGGGCACCCAAAATGTGGCCCGGGAATGGAGTTCTGGGAACTCGAAGACCACGAAGTGGCCTACAGTTGGCTCCGGGCATTCATAATGTGGCCCGGGAATGGAGTTCTAGCAGCGCCAAGAGCGTTTTTGCGAGGATGTCCCAAGCGATTTCGGCTTCGGCGGCAGCCGCCCTGTGTCCCGCCCCGACCCCCCTGTGGAGTCATCTGCTGCTCTCTTTTGAGTCCACTAGAAACCTATCAGCAAAAGCTATTAGGTAAAAGCACACAGACACAATGAATCGCCGATCCCCAAGAAAAGATGGGAAACTATGGGAATTGGGCGGGAAGACAAAAACCCAGAAAATATGAGGAAATATGGGGAACCTTTTTATTTGTGTGTATTTATTTGTGTGTCCCAGGGCCCCTTCATACATTTTGTTCTGAACGCGTGGAACGCGGTTTTCCCCTCATGTGCTCCAACTGTCTCGTCGACGGTTTTCGAAAAAGGGTTTCGGGAGGGTGGCGGCCCTCGGGGACCTTTCGGGGGCATGGATCCCAAAAGCTCCCAGAGGTCCTCAGAGGACAAGGCTCTTTTGCTGTTGCGTCAGCCTGTATTTTCGAGATCCCCCTGCGTTTTTCTTCGGTGGACCTCCGGGGGCCCTGGGGGCTGTCAGAAACGGGCCCTGGGTGAACTCCTCCAGGGAAGCGCGCCGTCCTGGGAGTCGGGGCCGAGCGGACGGACGGACGAGATCATCGACCTTCTAGCGCCGCCGCTCTGCTCGGGACGAAGACGCCCCTTCCCTGGAGGACCCGCAGGGGGAGCGGGGGGGGGAGCTGGGGAGGGGGGGGGAGCAAGGGCGTGGGCTAAAACAAAAGGGACTGTAAACGGGCGCGGGGGGAGGAAAGGGGGACGGGGGGGAGGGCGGGGGACGAGCCACCATAGAACTACGAGCACCAGGGGAATTACCAGCCACTGCGAGGGTCTGGGCTCCGGGGCCAATGTGCCCAGTGGTCCACCCTCATGCGCGACCTCCCTCTGCGACGTCGCCGACCGGAGGGCAGAACATCTCGTCGAAACACCTGCGTCGAAATAGCTTTTTTTTTGTTGTTGTTTTTTCTCACAGGTATGCATGGGGCCGGGGAGAAACAAAAACACAAGTCTTGACTCAGGGTGCCTGGTCCGCGGGCCGTGAACAAAAGAGAAGGAACACAACCGGGGGGCCACCGCGCCCCCCCGCCCCGAGCAAGTCCGACGGGGCGAGGCACAACACATACGGACCGTTCTCCGACGGGCCCCGCCGGTGATTCTCCGCCGGGGCCGCCGTGCGTCGACGTCTCCTCCGCGCCCTCCGGGGGGGCTGGCGCCGCGGAGCGCGCAGGGGCCACGCGGGGCCACGGCGCACGCGCGGGCCGCGGAGCACGTGGGGTACACGGTTCACGCGGGGCGCGGGGCACGGCAGTCTGAGCGGGCCGTGGGCCCGAGGCTGAAGTCGGGCCTGTCCCTCTGCAGGAGGAGCGCCCACAAAGAGTTAACAAATAGTCTGGGGACGATTTGTTGTCAATTTCTAGCTATGTTTGAGCTTTTTGTTGGCTACTTTCTATTATTTCTCGTCCAAAGCCCGCCTGAGGGGGGACATGCCCGACCCATCCCGAGCCATGCCTTCTGCGCGCCAGAGCCCGTGGAGGCCCCTGCGCGCCTCCAACAACCTCGGGCGTGCTTCCCGAGGCCGCCGTGGAGACCTCCGCTTCCCCCACGCCCTCCCCGTCCTTTCCTTTCCCCCTCCCCTTCTTCCTTTCCGTATCCTTTCCGTATCCTTTCCTTCCTCTCCCCCCTCCTTTTCCTCCTCTTCTCCCCCCGCCTCTTCTTGTGGCTTGTTTTCTCCCCTCCGAGTTCTCCTCGTTGTCTTCCCACAGGACGCGTCCCGGGACTTCTCCCTGCCTGCGACGGCCGCGCCGTGGAATTTTCGCATCCGGGCCGTTGGCGCCTGGAGATTGAGATTGCCGTGGCCAGGTCGGCGCCGCAGCGCGTCGGGCCGCGCAGTCCGGCGGCGCGGACGCCTCACAAGATGTGCAGAGGGAAGCGAATATCCTAAGGCAAATCCTGCGTCCCCCCCCTCTGGAGGGTGCCCCTGGTGATGTGCATGGTTCTGCCGATCGGCGCGGGTCCTCGAACCCCTTCTCCCCCCCTTATGGGGTAAGTCTTGGCTGTTTGTGGCACCTGTTTCGAGCAGGTGGACTCCCCCACAGGACGCACGGTTCCAAACGGTCGCGTTAAGCAGAGGTCCGGAGCCAGACCCTTCCCCTCCCTCCCCCCACCCCGGCCAATGTTGAAACGGCGAATCAGAAAACGTTCGACTTCCCGGGTTGCTGAAGACACCCAGCTTGAGCTTCTTTGTCGTAGTCCAGCCTTTCAGGAAAAATATGCAGTGCGTTGTGGATGAGATTGAGTCGGGAGTAACCCACGTGTATCTTCTGTGCATGCGCCGTTCCACACGCCCCCAGTGCGCCCCAGCGATGTGGTGCGCACGTTGTTGTGCAGTGACTCAGCGTGCAACGCATAAAGGAGAAATAGGACGACTAGAGGAGGAGTATGAGGAAGAAGGGGAGGACGACGATGATGACGAGGCACCCCCTCTCGGGCCCAGGGTCACTCAGACCACTCCCAGAACACGAATTGGTCACAGACGTGCAATCAAACAGGTCGTGTCGGTCTGTCCCCACCCGATTCCCCTCCTTCTGGTTCCATCCTTAGTTCCCCGTCCTTGTGTGACGCACCGTACAGTGAGTGCAACGAGGGGGACGAGGACGACGGGAGGAGGAAGAGAGGCAGAGGAACAGGGAGAGGGGGGTGGGACAGCAAAACCACGTTCTACTCCGAACAATGCCTTAAGCTGCGCCTGGGTATCCGTAGCTATTCATCGCAGGCCCTCGCGTATCCACGGCATGGTGCTCTCTTTGCTTCCGCAGTCCCCGATCGGTGTCTACTGCTCGAGCTCCCAGGGCTATCCCGAGGCATTCACAGACGGCGCCGGCACGAATCACGACGTTCACC